GGAATCACGGCAGGGATTGTTGTTGGAGCCGCAGCTCTTGCCGGAGCAATTGGTGGAGGAATTACTGGATGCAAAGCAGCGGATGAATGCGATTCGGTGCGTGACGCCATTAAAAATGCAGCAAAGTTAAACTATGAGAATGCCAAAGGTGTGGTGAAAAAAGCAGAAAACCTCAGCACAAACTTTTGAAAATCGAAAAGAATGATGGTTAGGGATTGAACCAACGTCTATTAATCTATGCCCAAAGTTTCACAGACAAGCTTAAGAGCCAGTATACTTCAAACAATAATGAAGAACAAACTGAACTCATGTAAAAATCAGCCAAAGTTTGTTTTGGCAGTTCGAAACAGCCCACCAAAGCGACCTTTTGGGGAGTTAGTTTTGGTTTCTAAACACATTTGCACTACCATTGATGCTAGAATTACCCGATCATGGGTGTGTTCTGAACTCTAAGTTCTTATTTGTATCTCTCACGGAGGTCTAACAGGAGAACAACATCCCACACAACATGTTAACAACGTGAATACACTGGAGAGTCGAGTAGCTGACTGGTTTGATCACTTGCAGAGAGATTTTAAAGACTTAAAGGGCATCAAACACAAGATGATAAGTGCCATCACGTCTTTCAAAGTTATAAACACTGTCTATTTGCTGCAGACAGAAACTTGGACAAAGTAGGGTATGTAGTGCGGAAGGTGTTCGAAGGTTTGTAAACAGTATACTGTAACGTTTTACAGCGTTTTCTAACTTTTTTTTGCCCTCAAACAAATGAAAATGAACTTCATTTGAATTATACAGAGGTCTTAAAGGGTGGTCCTAGAATTAATTGCATGTTTGAGTGGTCTTAAAGGTGGCAGAATGAATATTTGAGTATCATACCTGCCAACACTCCTGTTTTCACCGGGAGTCTCTTGTATTTCAGACACATCTTCTGCCACCCTCCCGTTTTGTTATTACTCCCAGAAAACTCCAATAATTTTACCCCCTTAAGTTGGGTCGCCAACTTAAGTATAGTATACCGATCGCAGCGGGTGCCCGAAACCCGCTCCATAGTACAGAAACCGCTTCATAACCACAGGACAATTACTTACCCGGTTCTCAACAGTGTTATTCAGACACCTCACCCCTGAATGCAATAGCAAATAATGTTCAGTACATGAAAAGGCATATCATGAAGCTTCAAACAACAGAGTTTTCCTGTTCTTGTGTAAATCCCATGAATATTCAATCCCAATGAAAGAAAGGCCAATCAGAACAAAACACATTTCCCAGGGGATGATTGAGTTAATGAACTCTATGGCACCTTTAACTGAAAACAACTTGCAATGAGATATCTTAAAATACATCAATGCCATTGATTAGTCTCAAGATGCACACCAGTTATGCATTTCTAAGTCACTTTTATAAAAACTACCTCAATGTCCTGATTTATCAAAGGTATCCTGGTTGAATCTAAACCTTGTTTGTGAAACTGTCTTCAAATGTTTTGCTTTATTTTGTGTTGTCTGCATGGGGATGTTTGGCACATTATAATATTTTATAAACTGTTGGGTCAAAATTTTATTGGTTGCATTGCATTTGAAGATTGAATTTTTTAATATTGGTTTATTCTTAATTTAGGTGCAGGGAAAACATAATTACATAAAGCTGACAGGGCAGATCAGTTTTTAATCTGTGATTATTAAAATTTTCTTTGTTTGTTTTTTAATTCTACAAGGTTTGTTTTTAATTCTCACTTGTATTTTGATCATCCAGTCACATTAAATAATTTATCAGAGTTTATGTTTGTTGCTGTTGTCATTCATCTATAGTGTAATAATTAAAGGTGCATCTGCCTAAATGCTAACCGCTTAGCTTATTATCTTTGGACAGCGAGGAGGGACTGTGTTTCAAAGCCACGCCTCCTGAAATCACGAACATGCGCACCGAGACACGACAACAGACAACCCACTAGTTCATGTCATACGCCAGTTAGAAATGTAGTTAGTGGTTGGCCGGCAGCATGCAGGAATTACTTTTATTACTAAGCTACACTTACATGCTATTTAAGAGTAAATATTCAGAGTAGCATGGTAAACAGTATAGGAAGGCTGTCATTGTTCAAAAATAAACCAATGTGAATATAAAACCAACTTCACCTCAGTAAAACATGCTAGACGCAATAGCGCTATTCACTGATGTTCTGCCCTGCTGAAAAATCCAGCTTAAACCAGCCTAGGATGGTTGGCTGGTTTTAGCTGGTCGACCAGCCTGGTTTAAGAGGGGTTTTGGCCATTTCCAGCCTGGTCTTAGCTGGTTAGGCTGGGAAATGACCAGCTAAAACCAGCTTGACCAGCCTAGCCAGGCTGGGAGCCCATCCAAAATCAACTATGTCTAGCTTAAACCAGGCTGGTCAAGTTGGTTTTAGCTGGTCATTTTTCAGCCTGACCAGCTAAGACCAGGCTGAAAACCAGCCTGGAAATGGCCAAAACCCCTCTAAAACCGGGCTGATCGACCAGCTAAAACCAGCCAACCATCCTAGGCTGGTTTAAGCTGGATTTGTCAGCAGGGTGTTGTTAAACTAAATAACATTCGACATTACTGATGCTGTCAAAGGTCCCTTATGAAGCTGAAAAAAGTCACATCAATCTTTCACCGGGAGACTTCAGTGGCTGAACAAAACTTCAGTGCATGTAACCCATTCATAACACAACACAACACAACACACTCTACATCAGCTTTGGGGGACTAAAATAGGTTCAAAACAGTAAAACATTACCCGTCTGACAGAAATACTTCAGCTATGGTGTCGTCCTTCCTCCAGCCTGCAAAACTAACTCCAATACTGATTCAGGAGTTTAAATAGTTTACAAATGTCGTGAACGAGAGCTGCTCATGTAGGCTTGCACGTGTAAGGGAGGCCAGCTAGTGAAGTGTGACCTGTGACCTCTTAAGGTGCTCTAGTGACAGATGCTACAGGCCATGGTCTTTAGCCTTCTTGTTAAAGCAACCAACTCCTATGTGGAAGGTTGCCGCTGAGCGGGGTTATGCCGAGATCAGACTGCATGATTTTCAAAGTAATCGTGTCACGGATGTTTTCACACTGCATGAGTGTCCGGGCTGGCATTTTGTCGCTGTTTTGTTTACACTGCAAGATGGATCGGCGACAGGGGCTTTCACATTGCATGACTTTACAATAGGAAGAATCGGCGACAACTTCGTCCAAACTACGTCTCACAACCAAACACACATAGTATATATTTTATCATTAACTACATAACGATAAAGAAGCCTTTAATGGGGTAGAAAATGTACATATTTGCTCACCTGGGTTTGAAAGGAATTACCAATTTCTCCTCGTCTTTTTTTTTTGACCCGGTTGTGATATTGCTCACATGACTCGTCAAACAGACATGGGTGCTACTGCCAAATATACACTAATTTTAACTCCATTTCTTGGATAAAAAAAAAATGAAAGTGAGCGCTTTTAACTTCTCTCCCAACCTCCGCTGGCCTGCAGGCACACACACAGGTGAATGCTGCTCTCTCATTGGCTGTAGGTGATGGTGGATGTTATTTTCAGTCAAAACCCTTTTCACACAGTATGATTTGAATCGCCGACAGCTCCAGATATCCGGCACGCCAAATATCTCACAGAATCCGGCGACTTATCAGCGATTCTCTCAGCTCGCGTCTATAGTGATAGTTCATACTGTGTGATCGTCACTCACGTGCACGAGCACCGATTTGCCTGTGATTTCAGGCATTTGTCTGCGATTTCTCAAAACCTGTCGGCGAGTCAAAATCGGGACTAAAATCACGCAGTCTGAACTCGGCATTACACACGCGCTAATTGCGGATATGCGGAAGCAGACATGCGCAGAAGTCCAAATCTACATTTGCTGACAAACAGTTTGAGCTACTTATCTGTATTATCGGAGATATCGGCCCGGCAATATTTAATTGGATGAACATCTTTTAGTTTTATGCCTTATCCAGAATCTAAAAAAACATATAACTACATTTAGATCATTTACTGTATCATTACTATTGGAATGTGAAGAGACTTTCAACCAGCACAACAACACATGCTTCTGAAGATGATCACCTACTGCACCTTTAAAGGGCCATGACACCCCTCACTTTCGGTTAAAGTCTACTTTAGAATTGTTTCAAAAGATGCATGATTAATGGGCGTGGAGCTCCATTAGCATAGGGCAGGAGTGGGCGTGGCCAGCAGGGGAGAAGGGGAGCGAACAACTGTTGATGTCAGATAGCTCATAAAATGAGACACAAACCGTGAGGAGACGCATGAGTTTATAGTTTACAAAGTTAAAATGCAAAGAAATTAACAGTAATTTAATGCCCTGCTACATTTGTTATTTGTAATTTCATATACACATAACCACAATTTATATCATTATAAAGATAATCGTGTTCATATAAACACTAAATGAGGACTTCTTCCTCAATTCCCGGGTCTTAATCATAGATCTGAATGCAGACTCAGTGCAGCAGGTCTCCTGACCTGTCTATTTTAACCATTAGTCCTGCTGGTAATCGGAGGATTTAGGCAAACACAGCAGCACGGCGATGTGTCTGACTGTGAATGAACTCCTGATACAAGACAACATCCGCCATCCTCTAATTCTCGTGCTGCTCTCCCGACAAAAATGCTTGCATCACACACACAGCTTGTCTGTATGCGCGTCTGCGTCTGCCTTGCCTTCGAAAAGCATGTGCTGTCGTGCTCTCATGAATAGTTAAGCAGCCGGCTCTTCTCATAGGATAAGGAAACTACGCTTTGAATAATAATGAGAAACCGACGCGTCATCATTGCACTTGCGGTACTTCGCTACGTCGCTGATTTTGATCCCGCCCCAAAAATCATTTTAAACCCGGAAGCTGAAATTAGCTGACAAAAGCTCAAAATTATCCAGTTTTCCCCACAATTAAAGCTGACAGATGCTAACATTGTCTTAACTGATGCTCAACACACACACATCTGTTAATATAAAAAAAAAATAGTTCTCCAGGGTGTCCTGAACCTTTAAGTTCATGTTCTATGAGCATAATAGGATCCAGCAGATGGCGCTGGTTTTAAAGTTTTAAAGTTAAAATAAAAGGCTATTAGTGGTTAATTTACTCACTCTCAGATAATACACAATATATAAGATATTTATTCTGAACATTAAAAAGAAGATTCCTGCTGAACATGTGGGTCGTTGTGGTTGCCATGATGCTTCCAACTGAAATTAATTCATTACATTATTGGGTAATATTTAATCAGTACCAGAAGGATGAGCTACAGACAGAAGCCCATAAGATAAGGTATAATAACATAAGATAACAGATGTTAAATAGAGACAGTCATTGGGGTTATTCCTGTCACTCATCTGCAGAGAGGTAATGTCTTTTTTAGCAGTGAAATGCTTAAATTTCTCTGCTGATACACATTAAATGGTGCTTTTATAGGATGTAGCATTTTCATTACAGACAGAGCACCAGAATGAGTAAGATATTATGGGCATCAGAGCAAAACAAGAACATTTAATAAAAATAATGTGGGATTATTTAGGAAAATTTATATTTAGTTTAGCAAACAGTCTTTAAATAATTAACATAAAAGCACAACTGCATAACATTTACTGTGAAGTTATTTAAACAACTTTAAAGTAGAAAAGGAAATTTGCACAAATATCTCTGAATATTTAATTGTTTAATTGGCAAGGCAAGGCAAGTTTATTTATATAGCACATTTCATACACAATGGCAATTCAAAGTGCTTTACATAAACAAGAATAAAAGAAACAAGTAAAATAAAATAAAAACAAATAATAAAAATGCGTAAAAACAAAACAAAACATAAAAACAGGTAAAATGTGATATAAAAGAATGAAGAAGAGAAAAACATGATAGTGCAATCTGTCACACAATATTCACACAATCTATTGTGTGAATATTCATCTTCATGTGGTATTTGTAGTTCTTTTGTGTACTACACTTACTGGCCACATTATTAGGTACACCTTACTAGTATCTGGTTGGCCCCCCTTTGCCTTCGGAACTAATAATCCTTCCTTAATCCTTTGTGGCAAAGATTCAACAAGTATTGGAAATATTCCTCAGAGATTTTGCACCCGCTGTAATCTTCTGCTGCTGTAGCCCATCCGCCAAAGGGTTGGACGTGTTGTGTTTAAAGGTACTCTTCTGCAGTCCTCGGTTGTAACGAGTGCTTATTTGAGTTACTGTTGGATCAGCCCATCAGGCACCAACAACCATGCCCCATTCAAAGTCACTTAAATCACCTTTCTTCCCCATTCTGATGCTCGGTTTGAACTGCAGCAGATCCTCTTGACCATGTCTACATGCATAAATGCACTGAGTTGCTACCATGTGATTGACTGATTAGTAATGTGCAGTAACGAACAGTTGGACAGGTGTACCTAATAAAGTGGCCAGTGCGTGTATCGATGTACTGTAATGGTAGTATGAAAAGTTGCTAAATCTAGCAACAAAATTGGCAAACACTGGTTATTTTTAGCTTTTCACATGGGGCATGGATTGAGCAGCGCGTGACGTCACTCTATTAAAACAGCGACGCCCCTTCATCGTCGTAATTATTTAATTATTTTTCATTTAACCCCAAGTTTAAATATCGCAAGGTGTATTGAATGTATGCAATATATTTGTACAACAGAAAATAATATAAACCTAGATATATTACTTGCTTGAAAAGCCCGCAAAACGACTGGCCGAAGCTGGGGTCAAGGGTCAGCGCGCGCGCGCGCGTAGCAGACGGT